CCAGTTACTTTCACTGGATTGGATAATTTAAAAAAATGTATATCATCATAAGCGCTGTTTAATTGCGAACACGTTGATATAGGGTTGTCTGCGAAAATTCCGGTCCGATTAGGGGTTTTTAATTTCAACGCGCGTGGAAGTGTGTGACAGAGAGATCCGAGGTAAGTATACTGTGTGATAATAAAGGACCCAACATCGCAGTCGCTTGTGATGGGACCCTGAATAGTAGAAAGTGTGCGAAGTCAAATCCTGAAAACTATGGTTGGCATTTTGATGATTTCTTAAAACCAACAGGTTTTATCGGAGATCAAACTCCTTTGAAAATCCAGGACATTGTCGAAATGGAAGCAAATGAGGAAGAATCTAATGAATCAGACGAATTCGAGAGTCAAAATGATACTTCTGATGAATCAGATATTGAATAGAAAATATTTATTAGAATTTATTTTTCATTAATATTATTTTTGTATTTATACTGTTTTTTAATAAAATTTCAAATCGTAATACAAGATGTCTAGTCTATCTTTTTTGTTATTTCTTAATTTAAATTTTTGGCGGTCCACTTTGTTTCTATTTCCAGAAAGAGCAAAAAAATTTCAAAGTAAGTATTTGATATTTTTATTGTCTATTATAGATTATAGATGTATCATTATATATATATATATATATATATATATAACGCAATATACTGATATTATATTGTTTTTATAAATATATTAGTATTATATTAAATATATTTAATTATTATGTAATTAATTAATTATTTTTTTTTGCTACTGAAATATCAGTTGCTCCAAAATAACACGCACTGTTTACTATATGAAGGGTAGTAGAGGTACCTCTACCCTCCATAGTTTACACACCGAGCATGCGCACTTTCTACTATTCAGGGTCCCATCACAAGCGACTGCGATGTTGGGTCCTTTATTATCACACAGTATACTTACCTCGGATCTCTCTGTCACACACTTCCACGCGCGTTGAAATTAAAAACCCCTAATCGGACCGGAATTTTCGCAGACAACCCTATATCAACGTGTTCGCAATTAAACAGCGCTTGTGATGATATACATTTTTTTAAATTATCCAATCCAGTGAAAGTAACTGGCATCGATATACCTGTGTTTACCTGACAACCCAGTAGTTCGCCCAGGTAAATAGTAGACACCCCAACGGCTGCACATTCTATACGTTTCATACTTTCAGTCAGGACACAATTTTTTTATTATCCTGATGTTGCAACATTTAATTAAAAATAATTTTTCGAAAAATAATTAAAAATAGTCTGCCCAGGATTTTTTTAGGCAACCCATTTTTAATATGTTTTCTAATATACTAAATTCATGATAAAATATATTTCGTTCTATTATCAGCTCGGTGAAGGTCGACTTAGGTTCGGATCTTAGACTAATTATTTTAACCATTTTCAAGATTTTCAAAATCTACAGCGTGATACTTTTTAGAGGTACAGGCTTCTTTAGCCCCCCCCCCCTCCAAACTGTTTCGTATTACCCCTCTAACATTATCTAGTCACCGGATTATGTGAAACGAACCGTTTTCGAAATGAATAAGCATATCCGTTCTAAAACATGGTAAATTTGCCTACGTTGTGCTCAAAGTTTATTTTTGGAGATAATATTACCAACTTTAAAAACGAAAAAAACCTTGACCTTCTACCCTTTGTATCCCCGCAACTGATCCAGTTTCTAATTTTAGTACATTTTATTGTATTTTCTACGAATTTCGTCCAATAGTGAAATTTAAGCGAAACAATATAGGCAAAATTAACATGTTTTTAGGACGGATATGCTTAATTATTTCGAAAACGGTTGGTTTCTCGAAATGAATTGAGAGGCAAAAAGCCTCTAAATTGAAGGATATATTCAATTTCTTAACTGGAAGATGTCAGAGGCGTACTACGAAAAAGTTTGTGGGGGATAAGGAAGCCTCTACCCCGAAAAACCCTGTAGATTTTAAAAATCTATAAGATTAAAATTATGATCTTCTTGAAATTATCAACCACACTCAATTTCTACTTGATATCTCCAAAAGTGATCGAGATACATTAATTAATAGAAAAAAATAATTAAACTTTGACCCCCTATAGCTCCGTTTCTGATCGAGATCGGCCTTATCTTTATACAGGGTGTTATTTAAGTACGTGGCCAAACTTGAAGGGGTGATTCTTTGAGTGATTCTAAGACGAAAAGTTCATATAAACATAGGTCCGGTAATGCTTCGTTTTCAAGATACAGGGTGTCAAAATTTTTAAAATAAATCGTTTTTTTCGAAGGCAAGTGCTGCAATTCATACATAAATATTTTTTGTTTTTGCATTGCATTAATTTTGATAGAAAATTCTAAGACTAGAATAGAGTATAAATATGAAAAAATAGTAAGACCACAGTTTTTGATGGTTTAGTAGTTGAAATGTTTTATTGTGTTGTCACAGGGATGTGCAATGAAGTGATTTTTATGTTTTTTCTCAAAAACAAAGCAAGATACGAAAAAAATTCTGGATATAAAAAAGTTGTAATTTTAGTTGCTCAATGTGAAACAAATATAAAAATTGCAAAAAAATCAGTGGCGCACATTTTTTCTGTCAAAAATATTGGTTACAGTGCCTTCCGGGACGCCACTGGACATGATAATTTTGATATAGTTAGGGTTGAATTAGCCCTTTACGACCTTGAATAATACTGCCAAATTTCAATAAAATCGGTTGAAGGGTTATTGAGATATTTACGAAAAAAACGATTTCTTTTAAAAATGTTGACACCCTGTATCTTGAAAACGAAGCATTACCGGACCTATGTTTATATGAACTTTTCGTCTTAGAATCACTCAAAGAATCACCCCTTCAAGTTTGGCCACGTACTTAAATAACACCCTGTATAAACTTTTTTGATGAAAATGATGAAATCTATCACCCATTTCAGTTTGTGACTTTACCTATCCAGCCTTATTGATCTAGAATTATACATACATTTCTATGATCCCAACATGAAATTCTGGATGCGATTACGTCACAAATAACCATTTTCCCTCACCTCGTTTTCTGATCGAGGCAACCTTCATCTACAAATAACCTTATCAATAACTACTTGAACCTTTTTTATTCTAACAAAAATATTATGGATCACCTTCGGAGATACGTACTTACCGACAAATTGTGGAAAATGCCACTTGACCTTTCTATTCTCATCGGTGGCGGCTCCTCAAAGGAGGCAACAGAGGCTGAGCCTCCTCAAGAATTTCCATGCAACGAATAGTTCGATATACTTGTAAAAAATATTACACCGAAATAGCCAACTTACGTTCGTTTTATCGGGATTATTTCCTGATATTTGAATTAGAGAATTTGGTAGCAATGTTTTTATTCAGAATAGAATACAAATTTGCGACTTGGCAATATCTAACGGAAAGCAGCCTCTGTCCCATGAAAATCACCAGAGCAGCCTCTGTCCCATGAAAATCGCCAGAATCGCGAGGAAGCACGTGTGACTGAGATTTTCATAAGTACATGGTGTTGGGTAGAATGCGTTCGGCCCAATTTTCCATTCGTCTACCATCTCCGAATATACCCGAACGATGCGTTGTTGCCAAATCTGAATGAAGAATCATTCTAGGCTTATCATTTTTGAATATTTCAATTTTTTGATACACATAATATGTATGTATGGTACATATTTTGATTTGCCCAATTTTCGCATCATCCAATTTTCGATTCCACCAATTTTCGATTCGCCCAATTTTCTATTCACCCAAATAACGTAATATAAGAAGGAAAATATACTTTCCTGCATAAAGAAGGAAACTACCTTTTCTAAACTATCTAGCCTAACTAGGCCTAAATGAACCTTCCTCCTTGAAACTATATTTTTTTTGGAAAATTACTTGAGAGAACAAAAGAGACTTCATTTTCTGAACAATCTAACCTTACTCGGCCTAAATGAACCTTCCTAAAAAGTGTATTAGGGTCAACCGAAGTTTGGGTGAATCGAAATTTGGGCGAATCCAAAATTGGGCGAATCGAAAATTGAGAGAATCGAAAATTGGGTGAATCGAAAATTGGGCGAATCGAAAATTGGATGAAACGAAATGTTGGCCCAACAACATATTTGAATGTGAAATGATTGTTGATAATTCCCGTTTCATTGAATCCGAGGAAATGTGGCATTATTTGACAACAACGCATCTTTCGGGTATGTTCGGAGACGGTGAATCGAAAATTGGGTGAATCGAAAATAGAGTGAATCGAAAATTAGGCGAATCAAAAATTGGGTCAAACGAGACGTTCCCCATGGTTTTTGCACTGATGCGCTTTTGTTTTGCCAAATTCTAATAGATGTCACTGTATGAATTCTCTTTGAGATAGAAATTGAAACTCAATTATCAGAATTATATTGAACACTATCAAAAAAGAACCTACGTATACACCATTTTTGTATTTTTTGTCGTGTGATTGTTGTTATTCGGTCCGATGACCATTAAATATATGACGATATCAGCTCCTCTTAAGGGTTTTCTATGAACAAGAACCTTATAAGTGTCGTCAGTTTTTTTCGTAGAATTTCACATTCACACTTCCCACTCCCCTGTTGAAACGAGCACGAGCCACCACTGATTCTCTCCACTTCAATTAATTTTTATTTACAATATATTCAGATCTGAAAAATGTTCACAGTAACTGGCAGATGATGAGATTTTAACAAATGATATCGATTGTTTCACTCATTTCAAACTACACGTTTCTCGATGACACGCCAATTTGACGATATCAATTCTTTGATATATCGTTAGTTGCATAACGCAAAGATTGCAAATAATCAAAATACTAAGTAAAACTATTCATGACATATCGAGTGAAATGATCAAATACAACTCGTTTTATTGATGATTATACACACTAAAAGCACTAGCTTGATGATTTAAATCTTCAAGTGTTTCGAAAATATCCGTATTCTGTTTTCAAGGTGTTCTTTCTTGAATATTTTTCAGATTTGCAGGGCCCAGGTGGTTACCATTTCGACTCAGATCATGAATTTGAGATACTTTAAGAGAAGGAACCAGAGTAGAATAATTTTTGATGTAATTGTCCAAAATGCCAGAGTTTGAAGTTAATGAGAATCTTAAATTTGAAGATGTTACAAAGTGCTTGAATAAATAATGTTGATATGCATTTATTTATACTGTACATAATATATTGAATATCAACTGAACTTTTGTATGTATGTTACATATATATCTCGCAACTTTTTTATTTATATGAAAAATAACGTTTATTTGTTAATCCTCAACTATTAATAAAACGATTTGAAATATATAACATCAACTTTTATTTCACGGCAAAAATAACGAAAAACAAACCTTACAGCCTTAAAACAGTCAACATTGTGTAATAAAATATTGGCACAAACAATACAATTTCAATTTATGAATTCAAAAAAGTTGCAAATTCATTTCAACATTGTAAATACTGAAGATTTGTAAGAATATAATGTTTAGCAGCAGAATTAACTCAGATAAGTGACAAAAGTCGTGAAAGTACAATGGGAGCTATTGAATTAAGCACACAGTCATCAGAAGATCAAAATTCGTTTGAGATTCAAAGATAGAGAGGCCTAATGGCATGGTACATTTATACTTAGAACCTCTACGAGGTGTTTTCGAATTTGAGGCGACAATAAATGAAATGGGGTGTTGTATGAGGCACAAAGACACAATGAATCACAAAGAAATTGTTTGAATCATATTTAAAAAATGTGCCCCCCCCCCTCTTATCACATGTGATTGATAATTCTGGTGCTTCTGACCTCACCAAAAGCAAATGGTCGAGTATGGCAATCGTCATCTGATCAATAATGTACCAAAGTTCAGATCATAAAAAAAGCATAACATTATCTTCCATAATGAAAAATGTAGGTATTCCTTTATCTAAAATACCTCGATCAATCGCCTTTTGGAGCAAATCTGGTACTTTCTGGCAACAATTATTGAGTTCCACGTGACCGTTTTTAATGCGGCGTATCTTTTCCACCCATGTTGGATATATTCATGTTGTATAGCTATATCAATCACGTGTCTTTCAATCATTGTTGATGAAGCTGTATTTATTACTCAGTAGTCATATTCACAAATATATTCGTAAAGTATTCGAATATACCTGAAATATTCAAATATTTCTGAAGTATTCAGATACCCCAACAGTAGGTATTCAAATACTCATTGAGACTAATTGAATATTCCCAAATTATTAATTTTTTGACATGGGAAATCATGTAGTTAGATACAGAAATGGTTGAATACAATGGAAATATTCAAATATCCTGAAAGTATTTGAGTCTTCTTAAATAATTCAATACTATTCATATATTATGTTTGTATCTATGATTCAAATACTTCTTGGACTTTGAATACTTTTTTCAGAGTATTTAGCCAAACAATTTGGGGTATATCCTTCTTTCTTTCTCTCTTTCTACCTCTCTCTCTCTGAAACAAAAACACTCCCAGAACTCTCGACGTTTCGACAATTGGTATTTATTGTCTTATTTGTAGGAGGCAAGAGGTGAATGAAGCATATATTATCCCAAGAACATGCATTATCTGTCTCCAAATTTCCAAGAATACTCAACAGACAATCTGACGTTTCATTTCCTGCTTATATTTATTGTCATTGATGAAGATAATGGTTGGCCGATTATGTATTTTTCTGTTATAATTTTCAGAGATTATCATTATCATCTAGTTCGAAAATAGGCCTTTCCCTTCAAAAGTGTCTAATTTGACCCACCCTGTACAGTTCAGTTCTGTTTATACTTTACCAGTGAACACAACTTTGCTGTCATATAGAAATACATGTAGTAAACAATCCAAAATAGTCAGGGCGTACAAAAAAGAATTCCTTATTTGAAAATAGTATATCGTTTAACGAGAATAGAATGATAGTCATCTGCATGACTATCATTCTATTCCATACTAGTAAAACACTATACTTTTTCTGTGGCTGTAACAGATAACACCGAAATGTTTTATTTCTTGGGCTTGTAGCTACCTGATTTCTCTTAAGTAATGCTCATCTATTAGACAGGGCTCTCAATGCTTGAAATTTGACATTTCATAGGAGGTGAGATTTTGTGGAATAATAACACAATGAAGTGATTGTGATATCAGATTCGAAAATAAAATTGACATACAAAGTACCTCATTGATTTATCAAACACAGTAAAACAAGACCAATTTTGTGTTATAGCCGTAGAAAAGGCGTATTGATTAAATAACATCAGTTTGGCACATGTGAATCAAATCTAACAGTTTTCTGTTGTTACGTATAGCAAACAAGTAGGACCTTGCCTGTTGCGCTCTCATTACTTTATAGATAAATTACATTATTTTCTGCCGTTACCGAGGATTTCCTGCGTTTTACAATATTGGATACTGATTTCTGCCACTTGAATATCAAATTTTGAGATTCATTGATGAAATAGGAAGGTACAATGGTCTCTGCATTATGCATTATAATGGGTGAGTAAAAAAAATCCCAAGTATCCATGAAATGAAGCATTAATGGACATAAAAAATTAATATTGACAGGAATGGCATTTATTTTAAAATCCATGATTACCTCTGAGATTATTATTCCTATTCTTTATTTTCTTATGATAAAATGAAAATTGAAAGCATATATGTACCTACCTAACTGAATGCTGATCCAAGAAATGAGATTTGAGCCGCATCATGATAATAACAATGATCTTGGACTGGTACATAAATAAAATATTTTCTAAAATTTTTGTATCACAATCCAATCAATGAGAAAACCTTAAATCATATACAAATACATCCGTGGCGGATTCACCGGTACGCTTAGTGAATCATAGGACCACATGGTCAGTCGAGGCCCCGCAGGGCCTCCTATATTTTTCAGTTACACAAAATAGTGTTTCATACTCCTATCCAGACATTTTAAAATAGCAACGAAAATAACTCCTGAAAGTACTAAATTATAGCTCAAATGGGGAGGAGGACGTTATAACCTCCAGAGTCATCTAGTGGCAAAAATATAAAGGTATAAAGGTATAAGTAGATTGTTTAGACAAGCACACCTCGCGAAGTCGAACGAAGACCCCTACGTCTAAGAAACAGAGACAAAATGTCACAACTCTGCAGACTATCGCAATAGGTACCTGTAAATCTTGATATCGTTTAATATCCCACTGACATAGCATGAATGGAAAACTTTGTTTGCTATTTTGTATTTCATCATCTAACAAGTAGCGCTTTCACAAATGCACGAGCACTTTTTAAAATACCCGTTTGATTTTGTTACGTAAAATTTTCGCCCATCAATACCAGCTTGGTACAAAATAACGACATATTTTATTTTATTTGGTCGTGCTCTCAGTGCACCCAGCCATTTATTTAATGAGATCTCGCCATCCATTAGGACTGCAAAGTTCAACCTTTCGGTTTTATGTAAACGGCCTTCCTTTGATTACAATATCTTGAACATTTCAAACCTTATATTTTCTTGGTATAAAGAGCTATCACGTAGGTACTAAATTTTACTTTTTCAGTCGTTTTGGATGATGCCTGATTGGCTAGTTATCAATTTTATCAGTATTTTTCAACCAAATATCTGAACATAAGCGAACAAGTCCCTAGTAGTTTGAAGAAAAACAAACATGTATGCTTTAAAAGGTAAAATAGTCAGAGATTGTGCCGTTCCTGAGCAAGATTATGATATACCAATATCATAAATTATATCAAGTAATACTTTCAATACCTTTACTAGGCTGTAACTACTGTATACTGTACACTACTTCATTAACGTTTTTTGAGACCCATGATCTGGTTTACATGTTAGGTTTTGCATTCGCGTTTGTCAACTGTCGGAAAAATCCTAACATAAATTATCTACAACTGAAATACAGTACTTAAGAATTTTATGATTTTGGAAGTATTACGTTTTAGTCCGGACGGTAACCTGCAGGAATAGACCCCACCTTGCATTTCATGTTCAAAAGGTGACACATGGCTTAAATTGTTCCTTAGACCCTATTCTTCGATATGAGAAATGTTGCCACGGTCCCACCCCCTGCAGACCCCTTATTTAGGCATGGTTGCCTTCCTTCAGGGGCAAAACGCCCTTTTTCTTATTTCTCGCGTAATAAACATCATAGATGTCTACTTTTTTTTTATGTTTGAAGTGTTTTGAGTGCCCAAGGCTGACAAACGATTATAAAAGGCCCACGGCCACAGATTTCAAAATGGCGGCGTCCGAAATCGAAAAATTTGAACATTTTCAAAGAAACAAAAAAGAGGTAACATATGGTATCGTGACGGGTGTCGTTTCATATGTTTTTGGGGCGTCTGATTACGAAAATATATAGAGGTTGAAAGTTGGATAAATGCCGCAATAAGGCTACGAAAGTGTGTTACAAATCAAATCTCGGTTTGAATTTCCGCGCGCTCACGCGGGGAAGAGATCCGCGCATTCGTTTGATTCCGCGCGCTCGGCAACAATGGTCTCTTGGCGGAGCTGTTGTGACTTGTTGTAACAGGCGGTGGCTTGTCGAGTGTATTTCCCGCTTCGACGTAAACAAACAGGTGCATCTTAGTGTTATATTTGTGTAGGCGTTCCACGTTTTGGTGAGTTTTATTCGATTTTACCTTCTGTAACCGCGTTTGTCGCAGTTCCACGGCGGGGTAGTTTTGACGTGTGCATACTTTGCAGATTTCTTCCGAAATATAGAGCTTTAAATTATATGATGTTAGCGTCCATAACGAGAGCTTGCCGAGGGATAGGCAGACCGACTGGGATGCGTGTGTGCTATGTCAAGAAGAGACGAGTGAGGACCTGCCGCATCCAGAAAGGAGCCTGAAAGCGGACAAAAGTGTCGGATATTCTAAATTGGCTGAAAATTTGGAGGAGTTTCAAAAGCTTGGGCAAGTGCCGTTAGGGGTGAATATTTCAACGCTGGATGAAGGTGCCGGCCTAAAGGAAACCTTGATTGCCCGGGAAGCAAAGTGGCATAAATCGTGCTATCTGAAATTCAGCACTGTTGTGTATTCGCCTTTAGCTACACCATTAGCATACAACACAGAACATGACGTATGTCATGTCACGTCAATCAGATGTCTGTCAATAGGTAATAATGAGAGAGAACAGGCAAAAAGGATGTATGTTGAGACAGGCATGTAGAAAATGGCGTTGGAATAAAGAGAAGCATTTACGAAGTCTAGTCGTGTCAGTAACCCAAGTCCCAAATATAATATTGGCGACGAGAACAGAGTTCCCACGTGATGTCCGAATAAGT